TGAAATTGGAGAATTCTAACAAAAATTAATAAAATATTAGCGAGCCATGAAATTGGTGAGCTAAGAAAATAATAATAAAATATTAGTGATCTATGAGTATGGTGAGCTAACCCATGGAGAGTTATGGACTTGGAGAACTCTAACAAAAATTAATAAAATATTGGTGAGCCATGAAATTAGTGGGCTATGAGAATGGTGAGCTAACACATGAAGAGTTATGGACTTGGAGAATTCTAACAAAAATTAATAAAATATTGGTGAGCCATAAAGTTGGTGAGCTAAGAAAATAATAATAAAATATTAGTAAGCTATGAGAATGGTGAGCTAACACATGAAGAGTTATGGACTTGGAACAAAAATTAATAAAATATTGGTGAGTCATGAAATTGGTGAGCTAATAAAATAAGAATAAATTATTAATGAGCTTTGAGAATGGTGAGCTAACACATGAAGAGTTATAGACTTGGAGAATTCTAACAAAAATTAATAAAATATTGGTGAGCCATGAAATTGGTGAGCTAATAAAATAATAATAAGATATTTGTGAACTATGAGAATGGTGAGCTAACACATGAAGAGTTATGGACTTGGAGAATTCTAACAAAAATTAATAAAATATTGGTGAGCCATGAAATTAGTAAGCTATGAGAATGGTGAGCTAACACATGAAGAGTTATGAAATTGGAGAATTCTAACAAAAATTAATAAAATATTAGTGAGCCATGAAGTTGGTGAGCTAAGAAAATAATAATAAAATATTGGTGATGTATGAGAATGGTGAGCTAACCCATGGAAAGTTATGAAATTGGAAAACTCTAACAAAAATTAATAAAATATTGGTGAGCCATGAAATTAGTAAGCTATGAGAATGGTGAGCTAACACATGAAGAGTTATGGACTTGGAGAATTCTAACAAAAATTAATAAAATATTGGTGAGTCATGAAGTTGGTGAGCTAAGAAAATAATATTAAAATATTAGTGAGCTGAGAATGGTGAGCTAACACATGAAGAGTTATGGACTTGGAGAATTCTAACAAAAATTAATAAAATATTTGTGAGCCATGAAATTGGTGAGCTAATAAAATAAGAATAAAATATTTGTGAGCTATGAGAATGGTGAGCTAACACATGAAGAGTTATGGACTTGGAGAATTCTAACAAAAATTAATAAAATATTTGTGAGCTATGAAATTGGTGAGCTAATAAAATAAGAATAAAATATTAGTGATTTATGAGAATGGTGAGCTAATCCATGGAAAGTTATGAAATTGAAAAACTCTAATAAAAATTAATAAAATATTGGTGAGCCAAAAAATTGGTGAGCTATGATATGGAGAGCTATGAAATTGGTGAGCTATCACATATGGCTCTAACTCTAACACTTAAGAAAATTCATGAAGATTGGGAACGAGCTCTAGCTCTATCACATATGGCTCTAACTCTAACACTTACCGTACAACTCGAACTGATTTCCGTCACTCGGCTTTTTTGTAGCTTCAATAAGAAATTTTGGTTGGTCTGATAATTGTGCTTCTTCTCATATATTTACCAATTAAGTCAAATCCTAAAAATATTCATTGCGATTGCAGGTTTCGTTTTCTTGTGTTGTTTACCTGTCTAGTTCTTCAATACATGGGCCAGGCTGCATTCCTTTCAAAGAATTTTTATGCAATATCTTCAAGCTTCTGTTCTTCAATTCCGGGTAAACTATTACTTGACTATGACCTATATTCATTTTTCACATTAAAATAGTAGTTTTCCATAAAGGATGCTATCATATATGATCTCAGTCGTCTAAGAGCATCTCCAATGCACTAGGCATATAATACTTGTTAGTTAAAATGCCTAGTGTGATTCACTTTTTTCAATTCCAACGCACTAGGCATATGATTAGGTATTTTGGCTCAACTCATATTCACTAGTTACATATAGCTAGCCTTCAACGCTAGGCAAAATGTATTCAATCATTAGGATCATTTCCCTCCATCTTTGTTGTTGACGTGGCATTCTATAAAATTAATAGTATTTGGATTAATAGCTAAAATAAAGAGCATGGTTGGAGTAAAAACATAAAACAGTTGATAGGCAAAATAAAATATATACTTTATAGTAATATTTAGATAGGTAAAATGCCTACTACCGTTGGAGATGCTCTAATAAGGTCAGCATCAGGCATAGAAGATGTTTGAGGCAAAGCCAACTAAAAATTGATTGTAATCTATTATTCTTATTGGTTCATTTTTGTTTGTAGATCAGTTTGCATATTCCCTTAAGAGGGTAACCCTTAGTTTTGCACTTAACGCACATACCAGTTGATCATGAACTAAGCAGTTATTCTTCATTCCAACTTGCCAATATTTAGGACAAATTACACTTACTATCATTGTAGTTTGTCTTTTGTGTCAATTTAGATCTTGTAGTTCTAATTGAATCAATTTTACCCTTAAATTTTTCACATTGTATCATTTTAGTCCAATTGATACCCTCTAGATTGAGAGGTTGATGTCCAATGTGAAACGGTTCTTTTCCTTTGGAATGGATAATTTTGCCCTTGAATTTTGTTTAATTTTTAATAGATGTTATCAATTGGACTAAATTAAAGGGCAAAATTAATACAATTAGAACTACAGGACAAAATTAACACGAGACAAATTACAAGGACCACTAGTATGATTTGCCCCAATACTTATTACCAGCAAATAGGAGAAAGATATTGTCTTGAGTTTGATACTCCACTGCTAAATAAGCTGCACTCCATAAATTTTTTGTCCTGGCCTTGTTATGCTTTAAAACATGAATAATTGAAATAATCAAAAGTTCATCAGCAACTTCAAGTCATAAAAGTTTGATACGACTCCTGTAAGACTTGAGATAAAAACCCATAATCTTGTAAATTCAACACTAAATAATAGAAATAACAGTAAGTCACATGGTTAGGGCCTATCAATAGCCTGATTAGCAGTTCTCAACTGGTCATGGCTTGGGTGATTATATGGGTCGTTACTTCTTTTAGGTTCCTTACCCTTCCATTGAGGACTCTGCTTTCGGGTTCTCCAAAGTGAGAACTTCTCTAAGCCTAAACCTGATCGAGTTGAATGGAAGTTTAAATTTCCTGAGTTCCAATTTTCTTGTAGGAAAGATATGAATTTGATCTTTACATGACTCACCTGGAATTTGGGCAGGAATATGGGCCCATTTTGCTGCAAGTTTCCTTCTTTGGATTTTTTTTTTTTGGATAAATTCTTCGTTTGGAAAATTTGCCACCACTAATATAGATTTGCATTAGCGGTCCACTTCATCATAATTTACAAAGAAAGCAATTGTTTGTATTTTTTAAAGAATGTTCTTGCCTTTTGGTAGATCCCATATTTTGGCCATCTCTGTCACATTCTCAATTGTCAAACAATGCCATTCATTGGGCTGTTTTCCCCGCATCAAGGTTCTACACAAGGCAAGATGGATTGATGGTCAAATGTACGTCCCAGAAATGAACTAGATCCTCATGATTCTCAGTGTGGCTGTCATGGCTGGTCTACATAAGATATCACTTATTGGGAATGCTTATGGTAAGTTTTTCTTTGGTTAAAACATCTTCAACTCATGAAATTTAAGTTACTTGGTCATCTTTTTCTATTACCAATTTCATGGATATGTGTCTATTCATGCCAAGTGTATAAGTGGATAAAATGTTTGAATTCTTCATATGCCATAATGCAAAACTTTTTACCCTAGATTCTCTAAGGCATCATTTGGTAATGCTTCCGTTTCCCATTTCTATTTTCCTTTTCTTTTTTGGGGAACTAGAAAAGAAAATTTGTTTTGTATATTGTTTTTATTTTAAAAAAAGTAGAATTAATTCAAAAAATTTTAAAAATTTTTGATACAAAGAAAAAATGTTTTCACTTGTTTTCAAAACAAGTTTTTTGTACAAGTAATTATAACGAAGGAGATCTTGCATACTGGTATTGTCATTATAATACTGTCTATTGTATTTTTCTCGATGAGTATGACATTTTTTTTTTCTTTTTGTTTAAAAAAAAAAAACTATTTTGGTGAATGTTTAACTTGGGTGAAAATGAAAATTCTTATGTTTAGTGAATCTTGTGTAATATTGTGGTCTGTATTTCAAGTAATAAAGGTTATTGTTATCTTTGGTGTCTATTGCCTTGGAAATTTTCCAAAAGGAAAATTAAAAGGTACATCTCTCTTCTGTCTATCACAAGTTTCTAGCATAATATTTGCTTTCGTTGTGTTGCCAAATCAACCAATTTTAAGATTGGAGGCTGATCAAATTTATTTATTATCTGTTGATCATCATTACATTAGTGCAATAAACTTTATCTTTCATGCTAGTCTTTGCCAGTATGATGAACTTCTGAAGTGAACACAAATTTCATAATTGAGCTAGCAAGATTTTTTTTTTCTCAATGGGTTGAGTCTGTAGGAAATATTGAAGGTTAGCGTCAACAAAAATATTTTCGACTAATGTTTTTCGCATTTTTTAGGGTTGGTATAATAAAAATAAAAAATCAATGAAAATGTTTTCCATAGTCAACGGAAAATAAACATATTTGTGCTAAAAATATTTTCTACTATCAAAGGGTGAAAAACGTTTTTCGAATTAAAGTCTTATCACTGCTATCATACTATCACTGACACCACCACTAATACAATCATTAATATAGTTGCTTCAAAGACGCAACAAAATATAGGAAAACATTTTATAGAAAAAAAAATTGCACATAAAATATTTTCTACTAAAATAAATGGAGCATAAGAGTGAAAAATATACTATCTAAAAACCATAGCTACCAAGGTTAATAATCTGCAGCAAAAATTAAAACTAATCTCTGCAGCTAAAATAAAAGAAATAAAGTAAAATAAAAAAATTTAAAAAAAAAGGTAAAAAAAAAGTAAGTAAAATAAAATTTTAAAAGTTCAAAAAAAAATGCTGCAGAAAAAGTTAAATAAATAAATAAATGCGGAAAAAAAAATTAAATGTCAGAAGTGGGATTTGAACCCACGCCCTTCTCACGAAGACCAGAACTTGAGTCTGGCGCCTTAGACCACTCGGCCATCCTGACCTTTTTGATAATTTTTTTAAGTTAATAATTAAGTAACTTAATTAATTCAGTGCTCATAAATAAAAAGCTATAAAAAAATGCATGGAGCTCACGAATAGTAAAATCTTTTTGAAGGAAAAAAAAAATTGATCAAATAAATGGGAAATTGTTAATCCCACTAATTTTTTATTATAAACAACTGTAAAATCTGTCTTTTAGCATGTACTTAGAATTCAATCATATGAAATTCATGATCAACATTTCATATGAGTGTGTTTGTATGTGTGTGTGTGTTGGAGATGAAATTCATGATCAACATTTCTTAAATTGCAAAGTAAGTTGAGTAGCTAACATTTTTTGGAGGTAATGGAAGATGAAAATTTCGTTGTAGTCATCCTATTGTGTTATTGTGTTGAAAATAAATTAAAATAAAATTGTTGATTTGCATTGATAGTGGAGTCAGATAAGGTAGGATTTGTGGAACTTAATTTAGACCGTTCATCTTTTAATGCTTGCCTAGTAGATCATCCATGTAAGAAATTAGGATTGTATCATATTTGTCTTAAATAAAATAGACGGTCTATTATCGAAATCATACTTGTTGTCCATTTTTTTCAAGACAAATGTGATCCATGGTATATAGCTGCAGATGTTATTAATTGTCTAATGTTCAAAAGCGAGGACTGAGAAATATTTATGTATAAATGACAAAAATCTAAACAACAAAAAAGAAAGAATCAGAATTGGGTTAATAGTCTTCCACCTCTCCCTTCATTGTGACATGGCTTGGCTTATATGGGGATCTTCATTGTGCGGTTTTTGCTTTTGTGATTCATGCTTATATGGGCTAATGTTCTTGTGTTTTTTTTTTTTTTTTTTGAGGGGGGGGCGAATAATGTTCTTGTGTTATGCTTGCTAATTTCTGTAATATTGAAAGGGAGCATTGTTGAAATTAGCCAAAGTCTTTTGCTGAATCATTTTGTTTCCAAGGAGAGGCTTGTAGTTGCATTACTAGATTTAGTGGTTGCATATTAACTTGTGACTCGTGAACTCATGTTTTTTTATGTAAGTGTAATAATTTGGTGGTGTGGCTTAAGGTGATCTACTTGTATACTTATCTCCTATTAGGTTCCACTTATGCCAATGATTTGACTGTTCCTTTATGATTTTTTTATTTTTATTTTAAATTAGTTAGAAATTATCTCTCTTTTTTTTGAATTATTTTTGAGATACTTGTGGGCAACCAGAGTTCGCCTTGTATTACAATTGGGATCTGGCACTAATTAAGTTACTTGAAAAGGCCAAAAATATAACATTGGAGGTGTGGTTCAAAGAACCATCTATTTAGTGACTCAGTTTTGGCATTAACCATATTTCAGTATATTTCCTATGAATGCGTTGCAATTTTTTATTTTATTTTATTTTTTTAAGTTAATAGTGCCAACCGGAAACTGTTTTTGATAAAGATCTGTCTGTGTCTGTTGCAGGTACACATTCTGTCATCATGGCTTGCAACAACAAAAAGCCCATCCAAAATCAGTTGGTGCTTGAAAGAGGGAGCTCCAACAAAGTGAAGAATACTTCTGTGGCATGTGGCAGGAGAACTGGATTTGGAGTTTTCATTGACTTGGATGATAGTGATGATGAGATGCCCACAAGGGATGGAACAACTAGCGTGCCCAATGTTGTTGCTTCAGGATTTATTCTGAGTGATAAAGAAATAGGAAGTGCACATTTTCATCAGACTGGTGATGAAAATGGGAGAAGTTGCACAGAGAATCGCCTCCTGGACTCAAGTACCAAAAGAAAAAGAGGTCCATGCACTAATATTGATGTGAGTAAGAATGATCATGACGATGATGATGATGATGATGATGATGACATGACTCCAATTAGTAAACTTTAAACAAAAGAAACTCAAGAGTTGATTACAGATGGGGGTGATGGTTCTGACAATGCAGATAGTTCTTCTGACATTGAAAGTACGATTAAAAAGCTCCGAAGTAGGAATGATGATAATTAAACATGGTTATTTGAAATTGACATGATTTCAGCATTTCAGAACGATCCCAAACTATGCATGAATGTTGTTTGTGCTCTTTATAGGCAGCAATTGCGTAAGGGGCAATCCGTTAATGGCTCCTCTTTGACCAAGAATCAAGGATTTACAGTGTTTGATTTAATGAGGTATGCCTAAAAAGAGGCAAGCGGTTTGTTGATTCCGTTCACTGGTTACCTTCGGTAATAATTGCGATAAATAGTTCACCTAGCTACTAAAATTAATACATTGCATCACAACACATAGTGCACCACTTTGCTTATGAAGGATAGCTGCTGATATACTACTAGGTCAGGCCTCCATTCTTATGTTTGTAAGATAAATATATATATATATATATATATTCAGTTATGTTACTTTTTACAAATTACAGTTTGCAGTATGTTATATCTTTTTTCTTTTCTTTTTCACTTTTTCGTTCAACTTATATCTTATGGTGATTTTTTGTTAAATTTGCACAATATGGTAATTTTTTATGATTGCTATTTGCATTGTAAAAGAGTTTGAGAATTTGCCTATGTTGGAAGGTGATTTATGTTTATAACCAACACATGGAAAATATAAAAACATAAAAAGGAAAAAATAATTGAAAAGAAAAGAAGAATAACAAGAGGAGGTGATTTTGGTTTCATATGTACTCACAAAAGTGTATAGACATTTTTTTCCCTGAACAAGTGGATGCAATCTTAATTTTATTGACATTTCCATTTCAACTTTCATTTCCTTCACTAGTACATTTCCATTTCAATTTCATTTATTTCACTAGTAACTCTCTCTCTCTCTCTCTCTAAGTTAGGGGTATCAATGTGGAAAGTTTTGACATTTGCATTTCAACTTCATTTCCCAAACAATCTCAGCACAAGTGGCATCACTCTCTGTTATGTTTTCAGCCTTCTCCATCCATTTGCTCTTCTTCCATTTTTAAGTCAGGTTGTATCATCTTTATGTTAGGAATTTATACTTTTAGCTTTAATTCCAAAAACCTCCCACAAGTCTAAGAATTTATTTGTAGTCATATTTCTCGCCTTCTTACATTTTTGGTGCTCTTGGACACTACATGAGCAAATGTGAACAATTTCATTTTTGGCATGTTTAGTGATTGATTAGAAAAGAACCAAAAGAAAAAGGGAAAGAAAATTGTCTGACCTGATTAGGAAGCTGTCACCAAAGCTAGGTTGATGTATTTTTTGCTGTATTCTTTCTTCTTCTTCATCATCTTCACTACAGATTTTTTTTTTTTTTTTATAGTTTTATTTCCCCTTTTGCCATCTACTTTTATATTCCATGGGAAGAAATGAAGACATGATATCTCCAAAATCTGATAAAGCATGTCCAAAATCAGAAAAAGCATCTCCACCTAAACAGGTTATGTGTTCCTGATATGTTTTTGTTGTGGGATTATATGTCTTTATCAATAACAAATGAATGATTTTTCTCCTTTTTGTTAAATACATGTACAAATAGTTTATGAATTATGATTGCAATAAGCAAAGAGTACTACTATTTATGTACAATTTAATCCAACATACATACATGCATGTGTGCTATGAGAGAGAGAGGTCTGTTGCATTGTTTCTTTGGCGGATTAGCTCTTGGAGTTCAAGATCTGAAATTAGACCACGCATTGGCATTGGCATTGGCAAGACCAGACAAACATTCATCTCTATCCCGGCTGGGCAACTACTCGGGTTATTCCCTTTATGGAGCATCTTCCTTTCTTGCATTGCATGGCAACTACTTTAGTTGGACCTTAGGTTCAGAAAATTTTGTTTTTGCCAATTTTCTTAATTCACTAGCAATTTAACAATTTGATTCACTTTCAGGCATATTATGGGCCTGGAGTACCCATACCACCATCATATTTGAACTCTGCAGTCATGGCTTGTCATGTTCCTCATCCTCATGTGTGGGCACCGCCATAGGTACTCTGGAGTTATCTGAGTTTCTATAGTCATCTTTTGCACATGGCATTTCTATATGTCTAGCTTGGAGCTGTGTTACAAATGCAATATTTGTTGAACTCATTCTCTATTTGACATATAACTACTGCAACATGTGATGCCACCTTATGGGGTGCCTCTGCCATCTATTCTCCTGGAGTTGTTTATGCTCATCCTACAGTTCATATTGTAAGTCATGCTTTTTCTTTAGAACTTCAGTTCCCCACTTACAAACTTCTGTTTGTGGGTTCTTTTAAATCCGAGTGAATTGTAAACACGAAATAGTTCCAGAGTACTTTCTTTACTTTAGAGAAGCAAGAAACGTATACTATTCAAAATTCATCAACAACTATGATTGGTGCGACTTAGTTCCGTACGATTGTTGAAATTTTTGTACTTTTCAAACTATTAGTGCGATGACCCTTACATCACCACATTGCATCCCTCTTCCTCTTGCTGATATGGGAAACAATTCCTCCAGTCAGATTCATCCTTTAAAGTAGCCTGTTCTGTTGCAGAAATTTTTTACTCCATGCCTACAATATTCCTAATATGCCATTAATCTGTCCATAAGATCTTTAGAGGTGAAATCTGCACAACATTCTCGTTGCTTAGAAGTGTGATGATTTATGAATTTTTTGGGCTAGGATGATTAACTTGAAGCAGCAGTTTGCTCTACAACCATAAAGTCTTACTTTGGCGACTATCATGCAGGTTGCAACTCCTGTGAGTGCACAAATGCTTTCTACTTCATCAGACAACATGGATCAAGGCTCAACAAAGAAGTTGAAAAGATTGGCTGGAGTTGCTATGCAAGTAGTCAATGACAATGCTGAGGTATTTGCTTAATTATTTCCTGGGAGCAAACTAGGTGAGGCAGACAAGTAAGCTTTACCATAGGAAAAATGGATTTAGGCGACGTTTTTTTAATGACATTTTTTTAAACGTCACTTTTATTAATATTTAACGACGTTTTATAAAAATGTCCTCGCACATTCCTTTAATAAAATGGCACCATTTTG